TATTCTTCTGAAAACCTCACTGGCAACCGAATCAAGTGCGCCCCTCCCCTCCACCGCATTGCGCACTCAGAGCATATATCTAGATACTACTAATACAGATCTAAAATCTATGATAGGCTTTGCTATACGGTAGTAGGCAGTATAAAGATACAGCTGTGTAACTTTAATGACTTGTTATAATGGATATGCGTCCAGATGAGACGGGATACTAGAGAAGCGTTGCCGAAGGAGGTGTTAATCCGAAGTGCTGCGCGATCTTGCACGCAGTTCTGCGGCAAGGCGCACGCGACGCGGCGGAACGTCCTACGACAGCTATGCAGCGCTGGCAGCTATGGGATCCGTGCGCTGAAATGCATAGGGCGGCGCACGAATCCATAGCTGCCAGCGACAGTCCGCGATTTTAGTGGGGGACACAGAGGCAGACATTTGGAACGTGAACAGTGTTCACTTGTTATAAAAACTGTAACGAGTACTGTTGTCGTAACGAGCTGGTGTCACGGCGAAATCACAGAAAGACTGTCGAAATTCTGACATTCGCGAACCTTGCCAGTAATTGAAATGCTGTCAGAATCAGGAAACACCTACCGGCGCTCTTCATGACCTCATTGTTGCGCCTCAACGCTGCAACGTTTTTGCAAACGTTCCAATGGCGAGGCTCGTACGGGATTGGAAAGGCAGTGCGCCGCCTGCCCGCCGCCTATAGCCCATAGACTGGCACTCGCTCCCACCTCTCGGCTTAGCTTAGTCACTCGATGGCTAATTGACGGTGGGAGCGAGTCCTAGTCATGTAGCCTTTGCACCTCGGACAACCTTCTCGAAAGAGAGTAGGCCTATACTAGAAACATTAAGAATTTGGTAGTAAATAGATTTGTATTTATTAGCATATATTTTATTTGAAACGCTCCATCTGCCTGTGTCTAGTATGAGGGTATTCTAACCCTAGCAAAGAGCGTTTCTGGAGCTAGTAGTAGTAGTAGTACTATACTAGTAACTAGGAGTAGTAGTACTAGTAGTTCTAGTAGTACTAGTAGTAGTACTACTAGTAGTAGTAACAGGAGTCGTCATATTAGTAAGTTACTAGTAACAGAGTTAGTCATTATTACTATTAGCTCCTGCCGTCCTGTGAGTAACAGTACTAGTACTAGTAGTGCTGGTAACTATAGTAACTACTAGTAGTACTTACTAGTAATTATTGTAACATGTACTGTAGTAATAGAAGTATTCGTAAGGTGTGGAAATGTACAAAGTCTTAATGTTTCTCTACTCTATTTCGCCTATAATCACCTGTAAATGCGGTCAAATGCTCATCTGCAACACACAAGTACACGAACGCACGACCGCGCTGTGCTGCGTGCACAAACAACATGAATAAGAGAGTTACACACTATAGACTGGTACCCGGTCGACAGTTCCAGACGCTACACTACGTGAGTGTAGCGATATGCCAGAGTAGAGGTGGCAATCAGGTACCAGTTACATATCGCTAATAGCCTCGGCGGTTCGTTGCGAGCCGTCTATCGCAACGCCACTAATGTACTACACTCATCAACAACAACAAACAAAGAAGAAACTTGAAATCCGTTATTATCAGCAAAGAAAGCGCGCCGACAAGCGACTTTCGAATTTAGGAGCATTTCTAAGAAATGCGAGCTCCGCTGGGTAGTCAAGCCGATCGTCGAATGGCAGAACTGCCAATTCAGCGAAGTTGTGCTTTGGTTATATATGTAAGTAAAAAAAAATAAAAAGACACAAAAAAGGAGAAAATTAAAAAAGAGTGAAGCCAAAAAGTAGGGAAAAAAAAAAAAATAACGGAATAAAAAAAAAAAAACAAACTAAAAAAAATAACCAAAAAAAAACAAAAACAAAAAAAACAAAAAAAAAAAAAAAAACGAAAAAAAAAAACAAAAAAAAAAAAAAAAATAAAACAACAAAATAAAAAAAAAAAAATAAAACAAAAAAATAACACAACAAATAACACAAAATAAAAAAAGAAAACGCGCACGCGACACGTCCCAAGTCGAACACAATAACAAAAAACACTAAATACAAAAAAACTGCCTGCCTCCTCCCCCCTCCTCCATCCCTCCCTCCCTCCTCCCCGTGCACCTTGATCGCTGCCTTCACGACCTCCTCTACGTAGCGGCGCAACAGTCCCGCGTCCTTCATTGCCGTCCAGCCCACCTTCTCCCCCTGCAATTTCGCGCGCGCCCGCTGTCGTTTTGCATGTGTCGTATTCTCGTGTTTTCCTTCCTAACGTGTGTCTGAGGCAGTTCATGCGACGCGATTTATACTACTAGTTTGATAGGCTTTTCAGTGTTTGCTAATTTACTGCATTTCAGTTCATCACGCTTGGAGACGATCACAACAAACTTAACAGAATAAGAGCACCTTTGAAGTGGGTATACGCAGATGCAATGAGCATTCGTAGAGAAATCACATCCAGATTGAGAAGTCGGCGTCGCTATAGTGCGTTCAGAATGACGTTGTCGCATCGGGCGACTACTGGTGTACGTCCGTCGTGTCTGATAAACTGTGCACGAGGCACTTCGCTGAGAGGCGGCTGTGCGGATCTTTGTTCCAACAGCTGGCAACGAGTGCATCGTAAAAGATCTCCGAAGAATCGGCGGCGAAATCACTGCATTGCATCGGTCTGTTGTGAAATCGTACTACCCTGTAGATTACCGAGTGCGGATCCTCTCCCGTGTATGGCTGCTGACCGCTCTTCATTTGCCATAGCGTCATACCGCATGAATACACGTCGGCCTTCGGCGTTACATCAGCAGCTCAGGTGCTCTGTAGATTGTGGTACCCTGCAGCGTCTTGTTCTGCGTAGCGGTGAGATTTTCGCCCAACTTTTGGCTACAACCGAAATCGGTCAGCTTGCACGTGTCGTCTGACGACACGACAGTGTTAGCCGGTTTGATGTTGAGATGTGCAATGTGCTCGCCGTGTATGTACTCGAGCGCCGATGCAACTTGCCTAGCGAAAACGAGCCTTCGCTCGCAGCTAATGGTCACGTGGGCATTGATGATCTGCTGCAGACTACGTTCTCCTCCGTATTCCATGACCATGCATCGGAAACGATCGTCTTGTGTGTAGACGAAAAGCAGCGAGATGACACGAGGTTGTTGCAAGCCCAATGCGTTTCTTTCAGCCTGGTAGCTTATCTCTGCTGCGTCGCTCTTCGTATCGTTGTGCATTATCTTTGCTGCGACGTTTTTCCAGCGTACATCGCTAGATGTACATATCCGAATCCTCCCTGTCCCAACTTCTGCAGCAGGTGAACTTCCTTGTTCGCATTTGAGTGAAATGTCGTGTACTTCATTTTGATAAAATCCACGTAGTTGTAGTATTCAATGTTATCGCCTGTAAGTCATTCAATGCTCGTGGTAGACGATTGATCGGCTTACATAGCAGCTACCAGGCTAGCCGCCGGGGTGACAAAGAAGCTAACACCACTCAATTAACGGGTCTCGTCGCTGGCTCGGCTACGCGAAATCTCCAGCCAAGTCTCGGTCATGAAAAGAAGTCAACTCGCTGTCTCGCACCAGACCGCCTGCCCACGATCTCCTCCAGCCCAACCTCTCCCCATGCAATTTCGCGCGCGCCGGCTGTCGTTTTGCATGTGTCGTATTCTCGTTTTTTCCGTCGGTTTCCTTCCGTACGCGGTAGGAAAGTATACTTGCTCTCATTTCTCGCATGTTACTGCTGTGTTGTGCTATGCATGGTTATTGAACAAACGTGTGTTCAAGAATGCATGTTACTACTGTGCTGTGCTATGCATGCGTTCATTATCATTGTGTTTATTGAAGTAAGAGATTTGGATAGAACCCTTTCATAGCTAACTAATGGTGGGTGTGTGCTCTTTAAATTAAAATTATAATTTCAACGGAATACAATATTGCTTATTTTTAAATGCTAGCCATAAACCTGCACATGTCTTGTCTGACACACATCGCCATCTATTGGCTGATTTAGATTTTATTAGAGTCAAGTATGTCGGGAAAACTGGTAATTATTAAATTGAGATATCGGGATTTATGGTTTAGGGCAAAACTACTGCGACAAGTATATTCTGTCTCTTTTAAAAGTATAAATTCAACAAAATACTATTCTATTTGGCAGGCAAGTAGCGTGCTTACCCCTTTCCTTGTCTCCTCTCCTTTGCAATATCCTTCTCTGATATTGTTCATCTCTCCATAATAATGATCAGCATCCTACGATTTCTCCAGTTTTTCTCTACCACCAGTGCTACCAAATCCGCCATTTTCCTTGCCCAGAACTTTCTCCAATTTCATTCGCTTTTATATTCAATTAAGCACCGCCTTCCTCACCTATTAAATATCTTCGTCTTTCCCCATGTTATTCTTTTCTAGTACGCTTTTATTTTGTGTTTACTGCATACTGCCCCTGTCTTCCGTTCCTTCTCATTCTCTCATAGTACCCATTTCCACGACCAATAATAGTTGCTGGCAATAGATTCATCAGGTCACTTGCAAGAATTTGCCCGTAGAAGGTTTATTGTTGGCGTTGCAACTATGTGTGTGCGCGTGTGTATGTGTATGAGTGTGTGTGCGTGTGTGCGTGTGCGCGTGCGTGGGCGCGCGCGCGTGTGTTTTTGTATGTATGTGTGTGTGTGTGTGTGCGTGCTGCGGGCGTGCGTGCGTGCGTGCAATGTGTCTGCATACGTACGTGCGCACGTACGTAGGCCTACACGATAACAAGAGAAAACATATATGTTAAAACAAAGTACAATAAACGATTAAACTGCTTGGCTTATTCACAGAATTTAACTAGATGACTAACAATAGTGTAAAGTGTGTCAATCGGACGACATAATACAGAGCCGAAGCTCGGACGTCTGTGCACACAGCGTGTGGTCACCTAGCTATAGTACTATAGCCCTTGATCGCCACAGGTCTGTGCCGAACAAATGCTATAGTACTAGAGCTAGTGGTCACCTCGCATGCCAAGATGTCGCCGCACACAATGTTCTATCTACTGCATTCGCAGGTCAGTAAAAACCTACACACTGACCAGTAGACTATAGTAGACTAATGAATCTACAGAGAAAGAGAACAAGCGACGCGATGGTCGATGCCGTATAAAATGCGTTTACCTCAAATAATAACATCTCGGTCGGTATATAACCGCAAGACAAAATCAAGACTAAAATCAAGTAAAATCTGAACACTGGTATTGCTGCTTGCTGCTCGTCGCCATGTTTGAAATGCCTTACGTAACTCGATTCTCGCAAAACGAGTGGAATAATATCACCTGGTTAAAAAACCAGATTTCATTGCCCAGGTAAATAAACTGAAAATAACCTGCACGGTGTTGACATTGCACGGGAAGTAACATAATCATAATTACTGATGATTGGATAATCCTTTCAAATACGTCTCTGATTATATAGATGCCTGCAGATGACTTTTATTGTAATGCATTTATTGCTTTGAGTAAAATCTCACGCGTGTTCACAGCACAAACACATGAAAAATTGCACATAAAATCTCCACGTGTGACCAGTTGCCTGTATATAAATATTTTTGATTTCATCAAATGACTAGAGCACTATGCATCGGCCAGATAAGGCATGAATATGCAAACTGATAATAAATATTGCTTAAAAGAACATATACATGCATGCCAATACCTATTGTATGCCTATGCTTTAGCAAAAACTAGCGTCAAATATAGACATGCATTGCACAACTTCTGTTGATTGTCTGCGCTTAACTTTTATAACACGCTCCCGTAAAACTAACCGAAATAAAGAACCAAACCGACACAAATTTATTTTAATTCGTCGGCAGTCAAGCGTATCCGCATATATACGCATTATACGCATATACGCTTCACTTGCTATACGCATCATAAAAATACTTAAACATTTACTTGAAGTTGAATTATCAAAGGTTGATCAACTGAAGACGGCGGAAACACGAAAGTAGTTGGCATGACCACATATTATAGTTGGCATGACCACATATTATAGTATGTTATTGAAAGGTAAATTACACGGTAACACAAATTTCACTAGACACGAACTAGATTTTTAAATTCGTACAATGGAAACAGTTTTTTTATTACAGAAAGTAGCGCTTTCTGTCGAAAAAGCATCAGCGCATAAGATGAAAGGAAAAACACACTACGGTGCACCACACCAGCTGTAAACGTAAAGAGAATACGTGGAACCTCATAGTAAGTAGTCTTTATATAATACGTACATATTTACAACATTTACAATTTGCGGGACAGTGCAGAATAATAAAAAAGAAACACTACGAAAAATATTAATCACGTACGTGACGCTAGATTGACAAATCGCACTTGCTTGCACGTTCTCCAACTCTTGCATTTGTCGTGAATTGTACTTCTCATATATTCATATACAATAACATAGACCACGTACGCAACCACTTTTGCGTTGTAAAACCCTTAGAAAAGAACACAGAACAATAGAATCGCCATTCTATATCATACGGGGGGTCCATGCAGGCGTTATTTACACATCTGAGCTTACCATGCAGCTCAAGCAACTCGGCAGACACTGTCTTCTGCTGCCTTCTACGGTACTTGCGATTGCTTATCAATGTTTCAACAACAACTACGGTTTTGCGTGAAATGTACACACACGCCAACAATGCGGTACCGAAAAAACACATTCCAAAATCGACTTCCGACACTCGAGTGTAGTCAGTGTATTCTGGTTGTCAAATGTACACGTCATCTGCCATAGTAAGCTACACACAGCAAACATTCTGTTGACTTGGTATGACTATCGTTCCTGCAATGCACGTCTCATCCACAGCATTGCTGCTTAGCTTGAAGCCATGACTGATATAGCTCTACCTTCACTCCCGCTACAAGCCAGCTCTACGGGTGTAACCCCTTCACTCCCGCCATACAAGCCAGCTCTATACCGGTGAAACCCCTTCACTCACACTACAGGCCAGCTCTACCGGTGTAGCCCTCTTCAATACCGCTACAAGCCAGCTCTACCGGTGTAGCCTCCTTACACCCACAACCAGGGGCCTCTGTATTGGGAGTGAAGGGGCAACCACGAAGCTTCCACAGACACTCCCAAAAAATAATGCCCGCATAAAAAGATAACACAAGTAAAAAGCGCTTAGTGAGTTCCGGCTGCGAACGGTCACGTACGAGCGTTTCTTCGCCAAACCTCCGACAGCGTCACCGGCACAGAGTCGTCACCAGTATTTGGTGACACGACGGTGAGAGAAGCAATAGTGTGAGTTCACACAACGCTACGCGGACGCCTTCATTTGATAGGAGTTTTGCGACTGACTATCGCTGGCTAGTCTCTACTACATGTGTCTGTTTTCTATCGATTGCATACGCCTATTAAACGTAACAAACACGTTACATATGTACAATTGCCTTCCACCCCACACACACGATAGCAGTTAGAGTCTATTGAACATTCAATCGTCGAATAGTTTTCGCACACAAAATCCAATATTTCTCCCAGCGATATATGCCAACACCCATCCCCCACTGCCCAAAAAACAACGACAATGATTCTCCTAACCAATCTGAATAATTATCTGACTCATCTGACTCATCTGAATAATCGGACCTATCTGAATCATCTGAATTATTATCAATTTGAATTTAGAATTCACGTACCGCGCAGGATCCGATGAGAAATCTTATGGCGTGCAGTCCCCGCCAGCCGACGCTCGTCGCCCACGGACACAGCATCGTCAACACGGAGGCAGTGAACTGAAACCCCGCGTACGTCCATCGCGGCCCGTACTTCTTCGCGAGCAGGCCGCTCGGGATCTTTGTGACGTCAGGTCGGTTGAGGTCGCCGACGGCCGTGTGGTTGACCACCGATCGCCACGCTCATGTTCGTGCGCTGCGACGACATGCAGCCGAATATGAAAAACGACAGCAGCACCACCTGTAGCCGACACTACGTCCAATACGGACCTGCGATAGATAGACAGATACACACACACACAAACTCTCTCTCCCTCTCTCTCTCTCTCTCTCTCTCTCTCTCTCTCTCTCTCTCTCTCTCTCTCTCTCT